ATTATTATTACAAATTATTAGCATTGTATTCACTTGAAGTATACTATGTACATACGGATACATATGGACGCTCCTAATTGTGTTTGAAAGATATATTATCACCCTTCTCCCCTTTGATGTGTAAGTTGTGTGGTGTAAGTGGTTAACAAGTGGAGGTAGAAGTAGAATATCAGTTATTCAAATATTGCCCATAGTTTTTTTCACGTTTCATGCTTCCATAAATACTAATAGTCTCTACGAACTAACTGCAAAAAATTTTAATTTACTAAGCTTCATTGTAGTAAAAAATATTTGAAGTAGATATACAAAATATTGGAAATGTATCAAAGTTACAAACTTTTATTTTTATTTTTATTTTACTTATTAGCCCAAAGGACGTTAGCCCACAAGGGCTATTAATTTCATTTTGGCATTTTGAGATTTGACTTTTCAAATTGTTGCCACCAAATGTTAGAGACCCGCATTATATTTAAAGATAGTAAATAATGAAAAATCTGCATGAATGTATATGTGTTTCTCGCGCTGCGAAAAACCAATGGTACCTAGAAACATCAAATTTTCAGTAAGTTGTCCTCCACCAAAATATGGGGATCTGGAATTTGGAATTTGTTTTATTATCTATTTCATATTTTGTATCTATTTTATATTTGTATATCTATTTCATAATTTTGTATTTGTAAATTATATATTTCATATTTTGTAAATATTTCATATTTGTATATTTGTTTTTCATACATAATATTTTCATATTTCGTATTCATTTTTTTACCCATTTTGGTTTTTAACGAATTTTTGATTAAGAAACTCAACGATTTCAAAACGAGCAATGGCAACATTGTACGAAAAAAAAAACCTTTTTATCTCCAGCGCACGAGACTCTGTATGGGAAATGCTAAAGACATGCTCCTTTTAAAATTATTTTGCAATATTGCTGTTGAACAGAATTTTATGCTTTGAGTACGTCGAACATGATATTTAATAAATAAAGGTTTTTGTTTTATTGTTGTTATTGTTGGTTTTTAAATTTGTCGACTTTTTTTGTTTCTGTTTTTGTTTATCTATTTTTTTACGTCATGAAATTTCGCAGTTACGGTTCTTCATAACCAAATGTAATTTTTTTTATTGTTCATTTATTAAGAAAAATTCAGGTATATTTATTGTCAGCAGAAATTTTTGAATAAACCATATATCAGTTTTATTTATTGGGGTTTATGCTTAAACATTTTTATAAAACTATGAAATTAGTATTTGTCTCTCTAGTTCTTGAAATTTTTGTTTTAACTCTGAGGTTTGGAAAGGAATATTGACAAATATATTTCGTTAATCCTAAATGATAATTTTAAAAATTATATATTTCTTCAATAAGAAAAGGATTTACGCAGACGCTATTTCATCAATGCCATTTCGTTTTTTAAAATTCACAAAGATGCTACTTTAAAGTACATAGAGGATTTCAAAATTTCAGAGATATTGCTTTTACTTCTGCTTAATTTATTAGCAGATGAATAATAGTCATTGTAATTAAAATCATAGAAAATTACTTACTTTTGTAAGCTTCTGTTTCAATCATTAAGCAAGCCACTAAGAATATGCAAATTTTCAAATACAGAGATGACATCCTTATCTTTCACTGAATGCCATCCAATGTCTCATACGAGGAAACTGAGTTAAAAATTATTTCCTGCCACGGAATATTATCTTCTGACACTGAGGTTTGATTCGATAATAATTTTATACATCCTGCTGATATGGAGAAAGAAAATGATGTTTTGTCTTTTGAACTGTTTATATTTGTAGAATAGTGAAGTTATTCGGATAATATCTGATGATAAAAAACTTTATAATAAAAACGCATTAAATAAGATATTAAGACATATTAAAGATTATTACTGTAAAAAGGATGTACGAAATTATTTTAAATTTAAAAACGCAATTTGTTTAGATGGATAAATTAAATTTTAAAATTTTAGTATTTTTCTTATTTCTTCTAATGGGCTTGGATCACTGTTTTTATGATAGGAACATAAAACGGTTTCTTACCTTTGCAGCCTTTCTTGCTACCGGTGTCCGCAAAGCTATCCACTGTCAATGTTAAGAAAAAAGTGAGAGTAGCCCTCCTTTTTATAATATTTTTAGAGGTAAATTAATTTAAAATTTTATAATATTTTTAGAGGTAAACTAAATAATACTATCTGTTTGTTTCAATTCCTTAAAAGCAAAATCGGATATTTATAGTGTGATAGTGGATAGCTTTGCGGACACCGGTGGTTACTGTAGATAAATAAAAGAGTAGGAATAAAGGATCTTTTCCCTTCTTAGTCTATCGTAGGGTAAGGCAGGATACTTCCCTTCGATCTAATGAGCCAAACTGCTTCAGAGCCTGCAGCACCCGTTGCCAAGAAAGGAAAGTGGTTTTGAAAGAAATTGATTCCTTCTACTTGACTATGGAGTATTTAGAAGAACTGAAATTACTTGATCTCAGATATATAGGAGAAATTTGGTATGGGTGTATGAGGTAAAAGCGGAAACTTTGAAACAAATCCTCTCCTTATGATTATTCCTTAAGCAACATATGTTCTTAGGACTGCCTATGGACTCATTAACGAAATAAAATGCAGAGAGAGATTATACGAGACTTTTTATTTCCTAACGTCATTTCGTTTCATGCTTTTGGCATTTAAGGCTTGAAAGCGTAACAAATAAACAAACTCACATTCGCATTTATAATATTAGTAAGGATGTATGGATATATTTCACGTGAAATTCCTACATCAGTTCAGGAAAAAATGCCGCCAATAAAGCATAAATCAAGCTGGGTTTATTTCGGGAGATATCATAATTACAATCGAATAATCTGCTAGTTTGAGACACACAGCGCGAATTTCTAATTTTGCATTATCACGCTAAACGTATATTGAATTTTAGAAAACAAAAATCGAACTTCGCACCAAGTCGGCAATATTAACGCCGCTTTGGCAATTTTCTCTTTTCTTCCGGAGAATGATTCACGCTAAAGCCTTTTAATTGGTTCCAGGTGTCTTTTCTCCTGAGTAGTTCTGTGCAGTTTACAAAATTTAAGATTGTTTAGCGTAACGCTAACTATAACGTTTAGAAATGACTAGGTGGTCTTATAGATGAAATAGTGAATCTTCTGCATATAATAAGAAAATGAAAATGTTAGCTTTGAAACGTTAACATTATTAAATATTTTTAAACTTTACGAATTAACAAAGACAGACCAACTACCGGAAACCACAGTAAGAAGTATCTAAAAAGAAAAAGAACGAATTCTCACCTATTTCAGACATAGTATTTGAACTCGAGGTAAAACGTAAGCGTCATGGTATTATAACAGAGGTAGAAACAATGCTGAAATTATAGTGTGATAATCAAATAAGCAAGAACTGTTCAGGTGATCAGAACACTGCACGTTAGAACATTAATGTCATTTATGAGGTTATGAGAGAAAACGCTGGAAGATCGGTCATAGACCAGCATTATTTTTATGAGAAATAGGCTAAGATGTTTATATACGAATGGCAGCAAAACTAGTTTCAGAATATTATCGACATACTGCATTTTTGTGAAAATTTAGCGGAGGAACGTCAAAGATTCCTGACTGCCACAGGAAACGGCTTTTCAGATAATTACCTCTAGTTAAAACAAGACAGATATTCCATTATTCCAGTACAAAACTTTTCGCATCTTGAATTTCCATGGACGTTAAAATGCACTGGTTTCCGAAAATTGAGGAAAAATAAAAAAAAAAAAACTCTATCACACAACTCTATAAGGTATTTCTCCCGCCTTCGTAGTGTAGTGGTCTGCACGAGCGGGAGCGTATTCCAGAGGTCCGAGGTTCGACTCCCAGCGAAGGCGGTGCTCAGTTTTCATCTCTTCTGCTTCGAATAACCTAATGTCTCTAAAATCTCGTTCCAAAATAAGGCAATCCGTATCAAATTTGCATATGTTGTCAAATAAAAATTTCTTAATGGAAGTGCAGTATGCAAATTAAAGATACTGCAATCGAAACACGTCAACTCAGGGGATTTACCAATTCTTTTATTTATGTAAGGCTCTTGAAATCGAGGATAAAATATGGCTACTAGTTTTTCGCCTGTCGATGATAGAGAATGCTTAATTTTTTAAAACTTGATCTCCCACTTTATAATTGACTTCCCTTCGATTCCTGTCGTAGTACATTTTTTGTTGTCCATTGCTATGTCTGAATTTTTAACTGATACCTCTTCTGTAAGGAGCCCACCAGCGGCCGAGCGGTAAAGTCGCTGAACACTGGTAGTTCGGTCCGAGGTTCGAATCCCGCGAATGGGCTGGCTGCATGGGCATTTTCGTGGTTTTCCCCATGTGTAACGTGTATACGAGCCAGTTTCCCTTAGAAAGTCCTCCACGAAGGCATCCCTCCTTTTAGGCAGATAGCCCTCGAGGCTTTGCCATAATCACACACACACACTTCTGTAAGGAAATAATCAAGAAATTTCTTTGTTAGTGACGTAAAGAATATAGCCCATTTGAGAAAGCCGCGTGTGTGGAGTAGGAAAAAACATTGCTGAATGATTTAATCTTAAAACAACTCAGGAAAGAAAATGTTTCTTTTAATAGTTCTCTTATATTATTCTAGTTAAACAAGATTATTTTTAATTCTTAAAGTGTGTTCTGATTTAAATGTATTGCAGCTTTATAGAAAGCTACTAGCTTATATTTAGATTTACAGTTATGCATTAGATTGTATTGTTTCTGGATATTTCGAGATATTGCTACCAATTTATTTACTTCAAAATCTCTGTTTTTACCTTTTTTTAAAATTCCATGCATGGAAAATATCGAATTAATTATACGGCTGGAGTCTCCTTACTTTTTTAGGTTTAATAAATCACATTTAAGTAAGAAATTGATCCTGAGTAAACTAATCGTTCTTCTGAATTCTAGATACAAGTTACTATCAAGGTCGTGTGCATTTAATAAAGAGGAAATTCAAACACTCATTTTGAGATATAATTTTATTTCTAACTTTGTGAAAATTTCAGCTTAATTAACATTTACATAACTGTGATTTTATTAACCGTTGGTATTAAAGTTATATTTTCAAAAAAGGGCATTTAACCAAATTTCTTCCATTTTGGACAGTCACACACTGGGCATTCTCCTTCTACTTCCTTGATACGACACCATCTGTTACATTTCGGTGGTGTACATTCAGGCTTGCACATACAAACATTGCATCCGGCTTCATCTGGTTGTAATTTGCATGTAGGTCCACACTGTGGTGTTACGGGGCATTTCTTTTCGTCTGAAAAGAAAATCATTAGGTATTAATTAGATTATTAGTAAGTACGTACCTAAAATGTGAAGAAAAAAGGTATTAGAATACTATTTTTAAGATGTTTGATTATAACATTTTTAAAAAGATATAGTAGGATAAACTGAATTACTTAGATGTAAACTGCTCTAAAAAAATTAAAATGCATCATTTTTTGTTTTTAACTTTATTTAAGTAAGAAATGTTTGTAACAAAATACATGCAACTCTAAATTTAATATTCATCTTAAACCTTAGAAAATTTCTTTTGTTACAACACTTATATAATTTGTACTGTCAGATTTTACGATCTTTGATATTAGGGTGAAAAAGGGAGCAGAATTCATTTTGGTCATCCTCACAAACTGTTTGACTTTATGAAATCACACACGGATAAAGGAATAAATAATCATACATGGGTGTTTTCCTTAATTCATGAAACGAAAGCGCAGATTCTTAGAAAACGGTTCGAAAGGTGCTTTGAGAATTGAATTGTAAAAATATTTTGATGGAAGAATTTGTAAAAATATTTTGATGGAAGAATTTGTAAAAATATTTTGATGAATTTAGAACTTATTTTTAAGAAACAAAATGTATAGTAGGAAAGCCTTAGTACTATTATTTAAGTCAGTAAATCAAGCTTTTACTAAAAAATCATAAATAAATTGCATCATAATAATAATCTTCCTCTTTTTATATTTTGAATTTTAAATAAACTCATGAGTACGAATCAATTAAATAGCAAGATAATGAGAACAAAATTTGCATTAATAATGATTTCACGTTTATTTTATACTTCCGTCTGCAATTTCATTTCTTAGAAGTAATGAAAGAAGAATTATAGAACAAAAATATGTTCTAAAATATTTTAAAATTGAATGCCAAATTATTAGAAAACTAAGCATTTTTTTTTCAGGCTAAATTGCTGAAAGGAAATATTTCTTTTAATCAAATGGTTGGATATTTGCTAGTCAAGTATTCATCGACAAAAATCGAACTCATTAAACCTTCCCACCATAAAATGCTTTTCACAGGGAATAATCCACATTATATTCTCAAGAAAGAAGACAGACAACCACAAGTCTTCTCGGAGATTCGATCCCCAAGACATGTTACATGACTCTGCTAACCATCATACTAAAGTGGAAGTCGGAAAGATAAATCCATAACACGATATGTTAAAACAGAAGCTGAAGCAAAAGTATCGGCTAATATTGCCTATTAAATGATAGAATGAATTATAAAATATTTATATTTCAATGAAGGTAAAAAAATATTGTTTCAATCTGTAAAAATTATGTCCTTTTTCATGATAAAAAAATCTATCCTTCTGATAAAGGGCATATCATGATAAAAATTGTTAGCAATAGAAAAATTACTCGTATGTTTTATAAATGTGAAGCATTTTAATTGTAAGTAAAATAAATCGAAGAACCTAACATGCATTAAGCTTGATTCACAATTCATGTTTATTCATAATTCATAAGTACGAGTATTTCTACTAAAAGTCATTTTTGTAATTATTGAATCCGTGAAATATCGTAGGAAATAATTAATTAAAAATTCGTGACATAAATATGAACTGATTGCCATACAAAACAATATTTTTTTGTTTCGAAAAATTCAGTCGTTCTGTAAATTTTTTTCTTACAGCATTTCCCTTTTTGTTAGAATTGGCAGTGAAGAGAAGAAAGTGTCAGTAATTAGTAGAAAAAGAAACATTTCTTCTGAGATAGAGAATCTGAAAGAAATTACATTTATAACGTAACGGCAAATGGAAACAGTCAAAAAAAATTTGAAACATCTAACATCTCAACTGTTAGTTAAAAACGATACGACAGATTTTGGCATGGACATAACTTTTTCCCTTATCCAAAAGTAATTGCTTTATTCTACTTTTATTACTTTTGAAATGTAATTCTTCTATGTAGTGTTTTTATTTTAATTAAATTGCTTTGTTAAATGAAAAGTTTACATGGCCCTCTGTTGTGTAGCAAATTTAATGTAATTAAATGAATCACAGAAATCAAAATTTTAATGTGTAAATATTCAAAATTTTAGCTACACAACAAGTTTGGATATATTAATTTATTTGACTATTATTATTTATTGCAATCAATTTGGGTTATTTTGGTTTTACACAAACAGCGTCTTCAAACTTGTACACTCAGACAATGGATATAGGTGAATTTTCATGTAATAAACTCAGTTTTCCATGATAAAAATTAAGTTAAACCCTTAGTATTTAATATCATTAGTTGCAGAAAAATTAGCTCTTTAATTTGAGATAACTTTTATTTTCCTAACTTCAATTACATTTTAGTTATGAGCTTTTAATTAATAGATTTTTACCGTTGTTATTGTAATTTTTATTCTGGGGGAAGAAATCTCCCTTTTCCGGTAGAATGGTCGTTTTTTCGAGTTTTCAGTGCACTTTCATTGGGACCTCTTCCAGGGTTATTGAGATTCCCACATATTTCCCCTCTGCTAGGCGTAGCTGGTTGGCGAGTTGAAAAATTCGTTGGGGTTTCAAAGTGGTTGTTTTGTCGAGCTTGTTTGCATGAGGGAATGCTGAGTGTTGCAACTGGTTTCACCTTGGAGAGGCGTGAGCGATGCCAAGTTAGTGTTCCCGCGCGTTTCTTTTTAAAGGGCGGTTTTGAGGGACAAGGTCACTTTTTTTGGACTTTTGCACTTTACGCTTGAGACTGCTACTCGCAGGCCGCGAAGTAAGTTGTTCCTGGAGTTTGGGAAAGAAGGAAAAATGGAGTCTCGCCAGCTGGATCTATGGGGTTCATGCCCATGTAAAAAGAAATGCTAGAGCATAGCGTCGGCAACATGTTTCCGTCTGATTTTTTTTATCCTCGGTGTTTACCTGATAAGTTTAATATTCAAATAAAATAGGAAAAAAATGGAAAAAAAAGGGCCTCCAGAGTAGTAAACAGATAATCAGACTCCTCTGCAATAGATGATGTGCTCGTAAAAGTTATATGCTTCTGCTCTCCAAGTGGTGCGGCAACTTAATTCTTCAGCAGATGCGCTGATTCTCAACTATATAATTAATCTTCTCAATGTTAGAAATTTAACTGATCTCTCCTGGGAACTCCCCTGCAAAGCTGATGCGAATTCCGTAAAATTTTATACATCTACTCTCCAAGATGGTGCTGCAACTTCATCTCTTCTGCAGATGTGCTGATTCTCAACTATATATTTAATCTTCTCAATGTTAGAAATTCAAAGACTTGTAAGTTCCCCTGCAATAGTTGGAAAAAAATTTGGCATCGAATTCACCAAAAGACAATAGTATGGAACTTTTTCTCCTCATCTTCTGAGCATTGGATCTAATGAATACACCTCTTCCAACTCGCCAGCCAGGCCGTCAGCAGTTCAGATAATTTTTTTTTCAAGGTTTTGTTTGTTAAAGAAATGATTCAGTTTGTTGTGATAAATTAACTTAATTCGATTGAAATAATTTTGTCATTTGAGGTAAAGTAACTTAATTCGAATGAAATAATTTTGTTAGTTGAGGTAAAGTAACTTAATTCGATTGAAATAATTTTTGTTAGTTGATATAAAGTAACTTAATTAGATTGGCTAAGGAAATATATCCTTAAATTAAATTATTTAATTAAAGCAGTGAATTTCTTTCATCGTTAAGATTGTTATGTAAGGTGCCATTAATTGAGCTTCTTTGCTTCGCTTAGGGATTAAATTGTTTGTAAGATGTAAAAGCCTGATTTTATTTCTTAATATTTTACCCGGTTTAATTTTTTTTAAGAAAAACTATTGATTGCAATGTGCAATAACCTTCTTAATACGATTGGATTATGTACCAAGTTCATTTATAGCTTATTCAGTGTGAAATGTGTTTTTTTTTTTAAAGTGTAAATTGTTAAATATTCTTTTTTTTTTTTTTTCCGGGGAGGGTATTTTTAATCTATCCAAAAGTTTTATGTGATTATGCTGACCTGTATGAATTTGAAATAATTGTTTGATATTATAGAGTCTTAAAGAAAATGTGAGATTATTTAGTAAGAGTATATATTTTGTAATAATCAATATATTCACATTAACTAGATAAGTTCTGCTAGAATATAAATTGCATACAAATTAATTAACTGTTTAAGAGTTTAATAAATAGGCATACTTCTCTGGATCAGTCAATGTTTATTTTTTTGTGTGCTCATGTCTTTCACCAGTCAACTACTTAGGATTTATTTCAGGGTTAATCCGAACACAACGCAATGCAATGTTATGGCTTATTGGGATTAATATATATATAACTGTTGCTAGAAACATTTAAGTGTTACTTGTCAACTTAGTAGGTACATAACATTTTAGTGCCCCACTCAAAAGCACGTAACACCGCTGGTTATAAAGTGGCAGCCAAACAGTGGATCCGAAGCCTCAGAAATTTCAAATTTATTATCGAAACCCGAGCTCAATTTTTTTCTTCTAGCTTTTTTGGTGACATGAAAAATATCGAATATCCATTTCGAAATATGAAGGATTAATCCAGTGTCCTTGGTTTTAGTGTGAAGCAGTTACACAGTAGGCAGGAGATTTATTTTGTGTAAAATTTCATTCATTGTGATGGTTTAACATAGAGTGAAAGAATACTTAACTGAGATTTTTTATCTAAGTGTTTAAAGCTTGCTTCTTGTTTGTTAAATGGTTATATAGTATGTATAACTGAAAACAAAACTTGCTTTTGAGAAAGTATTACGTATTTTTTAGGGATTGTTGTGAAATGTAGGTTTGACCTTGAACAAAAAAAAAAAAAAAGATCACACGGAAATAACGATTTTTCAGCATGATTCATACCTGAATGAGAGAGAGTATGTTTATCGTAACGAATAATTTATTGAGATAAGCGGTGTCTGTTATTGCAAAATATATTGCTATTTTCCTTTTTATTTATAATAACTCTTATTTAAAATTTGTTGTCATTAATATGCTTTTCATGTTCATTATTTTAGGAGTGAAAGATTAATG